GTTATAAAGTAGCGATATGAAAAGTATCATGTATGTAGCCTATTAGAGGCATTGTATAGGGTGAACTGGAACTTTTGTGTAATCGTTTCAAGGAATTTATATAAACCCTAGTTTTGTTAACTGATGTGTTGAATGATTGTCTGATTTTCTTGTATGGTGACTTGGTCGACTACGAGATGATACTTGGGACGAGTATGAGTAGGTGTGAAAGGTAGTAGATGCATATACTACCGGAAGCACAGGACTCACACTTGGATCAGGGAAAGTCACAAGGTTACCAAGAAGCTAGTGATTGATTCCATTTTATTTTGGTATGTCATTACCATTGTTTCGGTAATGACTAGTAATATGGTTCTTATTCCGACCATAGTGGTCATATTTAAATTTGAGTTCGACGGCGAGGAGTATGTACGTGGTCTAGAGGACCGAGTTAGATGTAACATCTGACTTAAGTCAGAAGGTTGAAGTTAATGCGATTGATAGTGTCGCTCTCGTTGTTAAAAGAAGTTTGTAGGTAGAAATGCTACATGCTGAAATGTGATTATATCACATTAGAATATGAAGGAAGGTATATTCCATTCTGGAATTTAACTTTATTAAAGACCGAGTCTAAGCGTCGCATCGTGCGATGAGAGGTCGATGGAGCACGACCCATCGGTTTGTTACAATAGATAAATGAAAGTAATTATCCTGAGAAGAAGAAGGAGTCCATAGTAACGACTTATTCGGTAACTCGAGGGTTACGATTGAAAGTACAACATAGTACGATAAGCAGATGTAAGATTTGGGCATCTTCTGCGATCAAGAAATCCGTAGAGTTAAATACTCTTTAGAGAAAACACAGAAGTTACGGTTATTACCTAGGATGCATAAATAATGTGTGGAATCATTATGCAAGTCCTATTTCGTTGATGATTCCGGGACGTAATCATCCTAAGGGGGAGATAATTGTAACGCATGTAGATCCGGGCTAGTCAATTTAGAGGCGATAGGCGTCAAAAATGACTTTTTGATGGAAGATTATCTAGAAGGATTAATCTTAACCAAGTTGTAGTATATGTCACAAGGTTTCCGTGCATATAAAGAACGTCAAAATCCGAGTTATAACGAAGAAGTTATGACCCGTCGAAGTTTCGCGACAGAACCGGCACGACGCAATGCAACGTAAAAAGTGAATTTACGTTAGAGCGGTATTTAGCCGAAGTAATCTAAATGAGAATCGAAGATCTCATTGTTGGTATCGAATCGATAAAAAGTTAGGCGAGAACGGACGTCAAACGAAGAAGTTATGAATTTTTAACGAAGGTTTCTGTCCCGGCCTATTAAAAATAAATAATAAAAATAAAAGTCAAAATTAGCCGACGGAGTCTGAACGAAAGTTGTAGATCGTAGTCTCACCTTCGCGTGGATATAAAGAACGTCGAAAACGGAGTTCGTATGAAGAAGATATGAATTTCCGAAGATTATTAAATAATTTGTATTTGTTTTTAATCTTTAATTCGGAAGCATTATCCGAAGGAGTCACCGGTCTGATCCGAGGTACGCCCCGCATACTCGAGTACGCCCCGCGTACTCCGAAGTGTCGACATTCGCAGCAAGTGGCTTCGGATGACGAACGCAGTGACGTTTTTCGGACCAGTACGCCCCGCGTACTCCGAGGCTCCAGCCTCCTATAAATAGGATGCGAGGGCAGCCGACCCAAATGCCAATTTCCTCTCTTCTCTCTCCCGTTTTGCATCGATTTGCGTGCCAAAAATACCCCGAAGCCCCGGTATCATACTCGATCCCCGAGGCGAGTCCCGAGATCCCGAAGATCCCGAGAAGTGCGGTTCCCAAGCCGAAGCTCTGCCCGCGAGAAGTTCGATTTTTGAAGAGATCTTCCAGATCTTCTGAGGATTACTACTTCTGCAAGTCGTAGTGCTGTCCGATCATCTTCTGATCAAGTGAGTGTGTAGTTATTTTCTTCTAACACATAAATATGAAGTATTTGGTATAAAATACGTGCTATGTGTTTAGATATTGTTGTTTATTTGAGATGAGTATGGAATGAATGTTTTATATAGTTTTTAAATGAGTTATACTGTATGTGTATTCTATATCTACAAATATGTTGGGTAGAACATGGGTAGATGAGATAGTTGGTATGTGATAAAGTGATGAGGTATGAAAGATGATTAAGAATGATATTGGTAGATGCACCTATTAAAGAATGTCATAAAATTAGCAGATATGCTGGAGAATAATGTCGACAGATGCGCCAAATAGAGATTGTCATAATAATAGCAGATGCGCTTATAGAGTAATCCTGGCAGATGCGCTCATAGGATAATGTCGGCAGATGCGCCAAATAGAGATTGTCATAATAATAGCAGATGCGCTTATAGAGTAATCCTGGCAGATGCGCTTATAGGATAATGTCGGCAGATGCACCAAATAGAGATTGTCATAATAATAGCAGATGCGCTTATAGAGTAATCCTGGCAGATGCGCTTATAGGATAATGTCGGCAGATGCGCCAAATAGAGATTGTCATAATAATAGCAGATGTGCTTATAGGGTAATCTTGGCAGATGCGCTTATAAGATAATGTCGGCAGATGCACCTAAAAGAAAATGTCATAAACCTGGCAGTCGCACCTCATAATGTATGACGTAATCCTGGCAGAGGCGCTTAAAGGATGATGTTGGTAGATGCGCCTTATGTAGCAATAGATTTTTGTGCTAATTCCTTTGGTCAATCCTAGGAATGAATGAATGACGGGTAGTTGAATTCTTAGGGTAAAATCCTAAGAAATAAAGGAGATAATGGGGATGGGTAATTGGGTTGATTGTTTGATGGTTGATTATAATAATTATATTATTGTGGGTTGAAAACCCTATATGCTCACCAGGCTCCCAAGCCTGACCCACTCAGTTTTCTTTGCACTACAGGTAATGACACAAGAGTATAAGTTGGTGGACTTGACGAGAGGTTTTGGATTATAGATCAGTAGTTGAATAACTATTGTAAGGTCTATTTATATTGTTTATGCTTTTGGTCTGTATCGGAACATGACATCCCGAGGTTTTATTATTTAATGGAAATACATTCTCTTTGAGAAATGTTTTGATAAATGGTTATCATATTTTATTTTGGGAACAAATTCCGTAACCGTTTTCTTTAAACGATCACTCTGATTTATAAAACAAAGCATAAACAAATCGGTCTTTTCTGGCCGTGAAATTGGGGATGTCACACCAAACATAAGTTCTTGGATTCCACTGTTGGACCTCCTAGGTCTTGGGCCTTCGTGGATGAGGTTCTTATCCATACCGATCAAGATTGGGGTGTTAATACCAGAGTTTGGAGTTTTAGCACTCTTACCTCATTCAAGCTTATCCATCTTTCCCACTAGCATGTCGAGTTTCTGGCTTGTTGATTCACCAACTTTTGGTGTTGTTGCTTATCCAGAATGGTTTGCAGGTTCCCTTCTACTGTCTCCAACCTCTTCTCCAATGAAGGTGTATTCTTTTAGGGAGCGACCATTGCTCTGATACCAACTGATAAACCAAAGACAACAACAGAATAAAAGATAGACCCCAAATGTCAATTCAATTGAGACTGATAAATTCCATGCTTTCGAGAGGCAAGGATCTCTCCAAAATAGTTTGCACTACAAAATTTTCAATAATCCAACTTAACCAAAACTGGGAGTTTAAATACTAGACTAAAGCAAAAAAGCAAATACCCTCCAGCACCATAGTGATCCCCTAAGACAGAACTGACACCTAAGGATAATGCTCACAAACAAAATAAAGGACCAATCAACATAATGAAATGCTCCTCCCCCACGATTCTAACAGTTAGCCTCTTGAATAGGATTAGTCCCCTGTTTGGGCTTCTTGGACCCTTTTTGATAAACCAAGAATGGTTTGGGCTTATCAACGAGATTTCCAATCTTAAAACAAATGACTCCTTATCCTTTTCCAATGCAAAGAGATATAGTAATTGCTTGTGTTGTGGTCCATAATTTTATAAGCAAATTCAATATTCAATATGACTTATTTACGAACTTTGAACAAAACGCTACGGTTACTCCTGACATGCAAAGTGGAGGAAGTGAGAGCCAAAACATTTAAGGCATAGAATGGGTTTACAAGCCATTGACTATATAACCACTTTGTGTGATTAGATTGCTAATCAATTAATTTTGATATGGTCAAAGTTAAATTTGTATGCAAACTATTATGTATTTTTTGATTTTATGTAACAATTTGTATTTAGATTTTGTATGACAAATTGTACTTGGACTTTAAATGATCTATATTTCATTTAGATTTTATGTGACAATTTGTATTTTTATAATTATTTTATTCAGCACAAGACACAACATAAGGGTAATATGGTCATTTTTCATCATTCAACACAGTCATTCAAAGAAATAGTCAAACATCATAGACTCACTCAAATGCAAACTATCAGAATTCCAACTCAGTCGGCTTCTAACCTATCATCAATTATCAAATGACCCCTTACGCGTTTCCTTTTCATCTGAAATTTTCCATAGATTCTCCCGTTTCTTTCTTTTCATTCTCAAAAGTGATATGTTGAAGCCACAATACAACACTCAATTTCATATACACACAGTGGAAGGGTTTGTAAAATACCCCCAATCTTTTTTCTAAAACGGACAATTCTTATAAACTATAATGTTCCTTTTACATCCGATGTTTTGTTTGTAAGAAAAAGGATGTTTACGATAGCTATCAGATGTAATTTAGTAATGTTAGATCACATGCAAATAACCATACAAATTATTATTTTGGAAACGGTGAAATTCATAAAATCGTCCATGTAAATTCCAAGTTGAAACTAAAAAAGGTTTGACTTTAAGATTGTTACAAAAACAAGAAATCAAGAGCAAGTTTATACCTCATCTTTTAAGATCAAACAAAAACTTGTATTCTTTTTTAATTCGATTCACACATACTGAATTCTTGTCCGATATAAACCAATGGCTATCATGTTCTTGTTCTGTTCTGTTCTGTCTTGTCGTCCTAAATGGGTGAAAAAAGACACGAAAGGAACTTGTTAGGCTATGAAGTGAGAGCCAAGAAACTGTTGAACAATTTTAGCTACAGAATCAGCAAGCTCATCTGCCTCCTCCTGTGTTTTTGCTTCTGCATAAACTCTCACAACATCTTCTGTTCCTGATGGCCGTACAAAACATCTGCCTTGTGGGTATTTAGCTGCACACAATAATTTAATTCTTAATATTATTATTATTATTAGGGCAAGTATGCGAGAATATTTGTATAAAAGTTACCAGTTAATGCAGTGATAGCTTCTTGAAGGCCAGGTGGCTTCTCAACACTGGTTTCTGCATTAGTTGTTACCACCGCACTTCTATCTGCAACTTTTACCTGCCGCCATTTTCACCTCATCATTAAATAAAGACATATGAAGTGCACATGTGCCAGGTGGCTTCTATCAGGACATCTAAAGATTTTTTTTTTTTTTTTGTTATACTTTGTTCTTTACTTGCCACATGGGAACAAGGTGGGACCAGGCGGACTAGTGAAGCTTTTTAGGGCTAATTTAGATGATAAACATGAGAAGACGAGAGTCCTGGTCCCACCTTGTTCCCATGTGGCAATTTTTGTCCCATTTGACTTCAATCTCAGTCCAACACACAGTATAACTTGCTATAGTGTCCCAATTTCAGGAAGGAAAAGACAGAAACAGTTGAAGTGAGTGTGAATGACCTTAAGTTGTCTGCTTGGCAGATCATGATAAAGTTCATTCCATTTATCAACTGACCATCCCATATGTTGTAGGATGGCTTCAACTAAAAGCAACCCACTCAGGGCATCACCAACAGCCTGATTCATCAGATTAGCCACTGCCTGTAACCTCTTGACAGCATTCTGCTTCTCTAAACCTTTTAAAAAACAAAACAAAACAAAACTTTAGTTGCAAAATCAGCATTTTTTATGTCCTTACACACAGGGCTATTTTCGGAAATACCTGAACAAGGCTCATTTTTTATACCATCTAACCAACTTAAGAAATGATCCGAGAATAAAACTGTTCCATGACCATTTGCTTCGAAATAGATACCAATATCATATTCTTCGGCTTTTCCATGCAAATACTTGACTCCCGTGGGGGTAAATACGACTTTTAGTCCCACATCGTTTAGGTATTTAGTGGATGCACCATTAGCATAAGCCGTTTGTACAACACCAACACCAACATCTTCATTGAGGATACTTAGTTGCTGTTTGATAAATAAAGCAAACAAGGATAAAATTTTGTCTCCATCGACTAGGTTGATTTTGTTGTCTCCATTTGATGTGAGTGTAAAGTATACAAACCGATCCACATCTCCATCTAGACTTGCACACCTGAAACACTACCAACCATTCAAGTTTTCGAATGTTCTCGATAGGATTGGAATTCGGAGGGAGGAATTTAAAATTTAGTTACGCTTTTGATTGGTGGAAAATGCAATGGAATTTGATTCTGTTCTGTTGTATATTATGTTTTAGGTTATAAAATTTTTAAAGAATTTAGAATGTAAATAATCACAAATCATGAAATTGTGATTTATTGACTTTTTGTGAATTATAGTTTTTTTTTCTTTTTTTTTTTTTTTATAAATACATATTTGAATTAACATATTTGTCAAAATGTTTGAAAACCTTCCTATTATTTGTTTTACATGGAAATCTTTTAGGGATACTAAGGCTGTGTTTGGCGTGCCACAACTAGTTGATAATAGCTTATTTTTCGAGTTTTTTTATGTTGTCGTGTTTGGCAAGCCAAAAAGTAGCTTATAAACCAGCGTTTTGAAAATATACTTAGACTAGCTTTTTAGAAGCTTTTTAAAAAATATTTCAAATATAGCCCTTAATTAATTATTGAAAAAAATACTCTTAAATGTCCTTTTATGTATTTTTATATATTTCAGCTAGCTTTTCAACGAGTTTTACCAAACATCATTTTTTATCATTTAGCTTTTTAGCTATCAGCTAGCTTTTTATTTAACAACTAGTTTTTCAGCTAACAGCTAGCTTTTCAGCTAGTACGTCAAACATAGCCTAAGAGTTAGACATAATTACCCGGTAACACACCACTATTTAAAAACAAATTTGATATAATTAGTAAAAGCACCAAGAATTTGTTATAAGATATATTTCATTTGCAAATACAGAGTTTTATAAAATATATGATTCATTTTACAGAATATATAATCAAAATCAACTAATTTAAATTTTCAACAAGAATTGACATTTATTGATCTTTTGTACAACTTGTGTTTATTTTTATAAAATACATATTTGAAAACAGATTATAAATATTTGTAAAAATATTTGAATTCCTCTTTTATTAATTTCTTGTTCACGAAACTTTTCTATAACTATTATAGAGTCAAACATAATTATTCAATAAACCAAGACTATTCGGAAACAAATTAGATATAATTACCCAAAGCCTAAATAAGACTAAAAAAAGCATTAATAATATTTATTTCTTTTGCAAATACTGAGTTCTTATAAAATATAAATTTTACTTTTATAGAAATTATAATCACAATCAACTTATTAAGAAGTAAATAAATCGAATTTACCATCTATAAAGTTATGACTAACTTGTTTTTTTACAAACACAAACTTTCTACAAGATATAAAATTTACTTCACATGAAATACCAATATAAAATTTTGGGTTTTAGAAAGGGTATTTCAATCATTCACACAAATGATGGGAAGATTGGATGGAATGGAATTACATTCCAACTAAAAAGCACAAAGGAAAGTGAAGAAGAGTTTCTCTTTTAGGAAGGGTATTTCAGTCATTTGACATAAAGAAAAAGAAAGATGAGTCACCTTATCCCAACATCTGAATGACCAAAAAAGCCTTGAGGAGCAACTTTCTCCTTTTGTACATAATCAGCACCAACTCCATCATTTAGTATACCTGAATTACCTGAATTACGAATCTCTAAATGCAAAAAAGCATTCAACTTTTCTTTCAAAACTTGAAGCTTCTCCCCACCCACTCCATTTGAGCAATCAACAACCAATTTCCCAATTGGATGATTATCTCTGCTCTTCTCGGGTATCAAATCTATCAACCATCTAATGTAATGTAATGTAATCAAATTAAGGGTTAAAATGCACATTTCCTTCCATATAATATTCAGAGTTTATGTTAAAATCTGTCATCTAACTATTCAATGTGTCCACATTTGATTTGGCAACTCCTTGAACATTTTTACGTTTGTATCTAATACGCTGTTATGACAAAAAAAAATTCCTAAATGTGGTCGATAGTAGGATATTAATATATGATTTTATTATTAATACATAATTTTTTTATACTCTCATAATTAGATATCTTATAGTATATTTGTCTATCAAATTAAATGCAGGAAACAAAAATAAACATCTGTTAATTGTTTATTATAGCATCCAATTTCGTTTCATCCTATAAAAGCATGCGCTTCAAAAATTACCAAATTATAGGAATGCTGATTGAAATACAAAACAATATTTACTACTATAATTTAATAGATTTTTCAAGAAAAAAAATATATATATGAAGGTACGGTGTGTGTGTGTGTGTGTGTGTGTATATATATATGCAACAATGGTTCACTCTTTGTTCCATGGTTACTTCCATTAATGCTTATTTATGCAACTTTGTTTTATCTTATTAATCTATGCAACAATGTTTCTCTCTTTTTACCAATTTATGCAACAATATTTTATTTTTTACCTAGAAAAATTATGCAGCCATGGTTCCATCCATAACATCAAAAGATTATATTTGCAAGAATGTTTCTCTCTTTTTACCAATTTACGCAACAATATTTTATTTTTTTACCTACACAAATTATGCAACGATTTATCAAAAGGGTACTAGTAAAATGCTAAACAGTGCTTCTTTTGGTTGTGATTGAAATGGTTATTGCAAGCATATTTTGTGTAGAAAACCACTTTGTTGCATATATGCACATTTAATTCTAGAATCAAAGATTAATAGAAGCAAATAAAAATTAAAAAATAGAATATTGAAATTTTCTTTATGCCATTGCCAATAAGAAGTAAGAAGCAACCTAAAAGAGGTGGAAAGTTGATCAAAATAATGAAGCTCGGTTGCTTTCAAACCCTTGTTTCTGGCACGAACCATCCAATGCAATTCTGGAGTTGTTACAATCCCCATATCAATTGCAACAGCTCCCAATACAGAACAAATTCCCTGTAAGTTAATCAAATAAAATCAACATACAACACAAGAGAATACATGTTTTCTTGTTTATCATTGCTATTCTTCTTCAAGTATTTGAATAAGATGGAATAAAGATATCTTATGTATTTGTAATGACACTAATCGGATGTTTGGATCCAAGAATAATGTTTACCAAGGGATTGGATTATGTCACATGTTTCATCTTGTGATTCATTTACCCACTAATAATGTATTTCCTTTGGTTAAATCATTAAAATTTATTTTCGACCGTTTTAAAGAAATCCATTTTTCTTGTTACCCAATTTAGAGATCATTAAACTATAATTATTATTATTATTATTGACCATTAAACCTCATGAAAGTAGTAGGTTGTGCTTTTTTTAAATTCCAGGTGTCTTACTTTGTTTGCAGCTTTGACAAGTGATTCACCACTGGGCCTGGTGTCTCTTCCCAATAAAACTGCTGCTTTTGCTCCATCAAGTCGGATGTTTTCCTTCTTTGCAAATTCAGTTATCAACTGTTTCAAGAAATCAGTATATGAACATTCAAATCAAGGAACTTGTCACATAAATAATTAATAATCTCTGCCCTTTTTCCTTTTTTTCCTCATTATCTGTTGTTTGGATATCTGGACCAATGATGTTTGAAAGAAAATCACAGCACATTTGGGAAATGGAAGGAAAAAATTAATAAGGGAAAACTTGTAAAAAGCTAACAGATAATGGGGAAAAAAAATTTCTTTTTCTTTATGGATTAAGTCAAAAAGAAACACCCATATCATATATATAGCTTACTAGCTTACTCGAGTAAGTTCTGTTAAGTTAAAAAGAAACACAACCTTGGAGTCTTGGTGAGATGGATTTCCATTTTTCTTATGTTTTAGAGAGGCTATACTTTGCTATTATCTAAAGGGTTGAATGCAAGAAATAGCAACCTACTTTCATTGATTTGTTGTTGATTATAGCATCCTACTTTCATTTCTTCCTATTACTGCTTGAAAAATCTACCCAATTTTGGCAATGTGATCCAAACTCAAAGCAACTTTCACTGCTTTTCAAAGAAAGATATCTTGATAAAAAAAAATGGTAAGTACAATGCTACAACTGGGTAGACATTTTAAAATAAAAAAAAAAAAGGAACATGTTGGAACTACAATGTCATAGTAAGAAGAGATGAAAGTAGGATGTTGTAAGAACAAAGAAATTTCCTTCAAAACAGAAAATCTGAAAGGCTAACTACTCAAAAGTAAGGACCATATCAACAGTCTTAATCCACTGGTGAAATTAATCATGGGCCTTCTTCTGTAAAACACGATCAATTGAACTTACTGGCTTTTGTTTCGATGGTTATTGCTAATCTAGTAGAAAGCATGTAAACAATCATGTATCAAATTCAAATCTACCCTGGAAACCTAGCCAGAACGTCCACAACACTCTAACCTAATCAGTCCTCGTGTGTTTGTCCTGCCAATGAGAAGGTGAGAATCGATAATTGAGGTCTAAGGTTCAAGCCCAGGCATCGCCTTCCTTGCTCTGTGCCCATGGTGGCCATGGAACCGGTTCGTGGGGACCGTAAGGGTGGCGTTTGCCCTTTTGAACACTCTAACCTAATCATGTTGCCCTTAATTGTGTGTAAGATTCTAACTCTAACCTTGACGAGACTTTCAGGATCTGCAGCGTTAGCGATAGAATCAGCAAATGGCTCCCAATCTTGAGTGAGCATTCCGCCGCTTGGGTCAGCGACTTTGATGCCATTATCAGAGACTTTGTTGTGTGAAGCAGTGATCATCAACCCGATCACCGCTCCTCCAGTCTTCAAAGACCGCAACGCCGCCAGAATCCCGATTCTGAATACTGTGGACTGGAGGATCGATGCGTCGGCTCTGAATCCGGCGGTGCCATAAGAGAGCTTAGTTCCTTCAAAGTCGGAATTGAAAACTGAAGATTGTTAGCTTTAGACATTGGAGAATTAAGATTTTGATAGAAAAACAAAACCTTTTGGCGGCGGGAAACGAGAAGAGGATTGAAGGAGAATAGATCGCTGTTCTTCGTTCATTCCTTTTTAGTCCTGTTCCTTCGCCTGTGAACAAACGAGAGAGGCTTCGTTTTCAACGATTAAAAAGAATTTTGACAAAACTATAAAAATGGTCATTGGTTCTAAGTTGTAAAAATCGAACAGGTTTGCTTGGTTTTTTTTTTTTTTTTTTTTTTTTTTGGAAATTTGAAAAAACTAAACTGTTCTTGTGATATATAATAGGGGTTAGATTCATATATTACATGAGTTTAATTAAAAAAACAAATATAAAATTTTAACCATTTGAAAAAGTTGAATTTATAAGAAAAATGAAAAAAAAATTGAATTATTAAAATTAATAAGACTTTAATATATTGAATACATTATATATATAAACTCTTTTTAATAAATATTTTACATATATATTACCTTACACATTAAATGTGGAATTTTAATTTAATAAAATAAAAAATACAATAAAATAACAAGTGGAAAATAGAAATTTTAAAAATTCTAGAAAATATCATGTGTTCAAATGAATGAGAATATGACATGTGGCAAAAAAACTTTCATTTATTATAGGAGATTTTATGTTTTTTATTTAATTTAAAATTTTATTAATGATAAATATGAGACTCACACCTCTCTTACACACACAACACCAAAAAAAACACCACACTTCCTTCCAATGATGAACAAAATAAAAAAAATAAAAAAAAAAACCCTTCTGATCATCATACTCTTCGGCATATACTTTGCTCTTTTCAAACAAACCACACAATTTCTTAATAAATAGTTTCAAACAAAACAAGTTCAAGAAATAGTGGCGGACTATGATCACCTGTCGGAAAGATACATCAGTTTACAAAATGAAGAGTACGGTAGCTCCAACAGCGTCGATATATCGTATGTGATGATTGAGGGAGCCATGGTTCAGGATCCACATTCATTGCCACTTCTCCCTCCCTCTAGGTTTGCTCAGATTGGGTTGTAACTCAATCCTCATCATCGCTACCTCTACGAAATGGTTTTTGTCGGAACATCAAAGTTTCAAAAGGAGAAAGAGACAAAAGAGGGTGGAGGACATTGGGAGGGCATGATCTAGGTGTTGTTGCCCCACCAAATACATGTATCTGGATCTAAATTTGTTGTCGTCGTCAATTGTTATGTTGATATACATGGATAATGAAGATGGAAAAGAACAAAGCTTGTTATAAGACCTGATTGGGCTTTGGTATGTACGAGTTCTCTATTAGCTCCATCGAAAAACATATGGCATAAGTAATACTTTAGTGGATCGAATTTTGAATTAGAGATTTCAAATGGGATAACTGCATTAAAGGGATAACTAGCTAGATCAAGATTTTTTTGACCATTGTCGGCACCCCCACCATCTTCTTCATAGCAAAATCACCATAATCTTATCCATATTATCACAACAGTCCAACACAGCAAAAGATGAAATTTCAAAGCTCAAAGAAAAGTTGGCTCGAAATTTTATATACCGAACTCAATAAGAATGAAGATGGTGACCATTTTGAAGATCAAAAGTTCATGAACTTTATTGAAGTTTTATAAACTTATAAAATTATTTTAGTGAACTTGCTACAAGGTGTTGAAGCAAGTGGGAACATGAAGACATCATAAGAAGATTTGGTTGCTTTACGCCCCTTAGGAATGAACTTGATATTTTTTGTAATGGCTCACTGAAAACTGTAAGCAAGAACCTTAGTGAGTTCCCTCATCCTACCACATACCATACAATCATATAGCATACATACTGTCGGGCAATTCTGGTGTGCCCGACCTACCCAGTACGGCCATTCTGGGGTGCTGACCTACCCGTGTCAAGCCATTCTGGGGTGCTGACCTAACCAGTGGTCCTAACAACCAATCTTCAGGTACTATTCCACTCCCTACTACTACTATCACATATATCATAACATAAACATATTATCAGACATATTTGGGGTGTCTGAACTACCCTTCGGTCCTAACAACCGAACTTGGGACTATTCCTCTCCTACTACCACTATCACATATAACATATCATGCCCGCATATAAGCATATCATAACATATTATCAGACATATCTGGGGTGTCCGGCCTACCCTTCGGTCCTAACAACTGAACTCTACTAATATCACATATAACATATCATGCCAACATATAACATATCAGGTAGTAGCAAACCTAGATGATATCACAAAGACGATCATCTAACATACAACTCCTACTGGTGGGCCAGCATTGTGGTCGTAGACCCACCACTGGTGGAAGGTAACTCACCTCGTATGAATGAATGTTGTCAATCCGGGTAAGAAGTCTCCGTCTGCTGCTCCGCGATTCTCTGACTATAATTCCCATAAAGACACTTAATTAGAAGCTGATAACTACTCTTAGGTTAAAATGACTACTTTACCCCTAGCTAAAGTCAATATCCTGGTCAAAGTCAACTTCCAATTGACCTGACTCACCGAGTTGGGCCGCCAACTCGCTGAGTCCCCGTTCTTTCATCTGACTTCCCCCCGACTCTACTTGTCGAGTTTAGCAAAGACTCGACGAGTTCTCCTTTCATAATACCATCGAATAAACCTTCATCCGACTCACCGAGTTGTATGAACAACTCGTCGAGTTCACCTTCAAAGGGTTAGGAGATTGCCTTGGACTCACCGAGTCTGTTCTTACACTCGTCGAGTCCTACGATTCCCAGGTCCATGGCGAAATATAATATGTCGAGTCACTCCCGTGGACCCCTCTAAGACTATTCTAACACTCAAATGGGTTCCTTCGAACCTCAACAGATAGGGGACTCAAGCCCCGGACTCACCGAGTCCCAAGAACAACTCGACAAGTCGGCGCTATCCGAGTCTTATATTTCGATTTCTGATGCACAATACTCATCCAGAAGACAGATCTGGGCTTCTAAGATCGATCTAGCACATAAAGTTATGAACTTATGTGCATGCATGGAAGTATAAGCTTAAGGGACCCAAAAATGAGGTCTAAAGGTGCATGTGGCTTTCTATGGCTACAAAGTTGGCCACTTTAGGCCATGCAGTCCCCTAAGGACCCTAGATCTGGAGTTTGAACCCTCAACGATGCTTGCACTCATGATTTGTAACATCCAAAATTTCAAACCAATTCAAGCTTTTTAAAACATGTCGAGTTCATCAAAACATTACAACTTTGTTTTCAAAATATTGATTATCAGAGTTTTTCCCAGAAACATAAACACAATAAGAAGAGCTGTACGATCACGTCTTGGCCTTGCCTCGATCCCCTGATGTACCTGAAACAATAAACTAAAACTGTAAGCCCGAAATCTTAGTGAGTTGCCCCCAAAATACCGATACACATACAGTCCACATAGCAATGTCAACATTAACATATCATATCAATCAAACAGAACAACATGAACTGGGTCCACAGCTTTTCAAGCTAGACTACCCCCCCCCCTGGGCCCTCAGTACAAGTCTGGAATGCCTACCGGGCCCTCATCTCATATCTGGAATGCCATCGAGCCCTCAGTACGAGTCTGGAATGCCTACCGGGCCCTCAGCTCGGATCTGGAATGCTCCCGAGTCCTCAGTATGAGTCTGGAATGCCTATCGGGCCCTCAGCTCATATCTGGAATACTCTAGGGTATGTTGGCTACCGCACGGAGCAGTACAACCTCAACCCATCCCACATAACATGCCGACATGTATCATGACTAATGCACATACATATAATAATACAGTATCACAGGCAGTCCTACAGATCTACCCGACTAGCATATTAACTGGCATTCATCACTAACTCAACTCAACATATCAATAACTATTAGGATATAAAATCCAATGGGCCGACCTTGGTGCCTTAGACCCCTTAGTATAGTGAGGATAACTCACCTTGTAGATGTCAGCTCGGCGAATAAATCACAGCTCTCCGATCACTCGTCAAAGACTCCACCACCTATTACCATAATAAGAACATGCTCGTAAGTCTTCATCCTCACAGAGTACTTTATAACCCAACTAGTTAACCTTGGTCAAAGTCAAAGTCCTTAGTTAAGGTCAACAGTCCATGTTAACCTTAACCCGTCGAGTACCCTCGGCTACTCGCCGAGTTCCTTGAAAATCTTACCCACTCGCTGAGTCACCGGGGTGACTTGTCGAGTTCCCACGATTCTCGATTGAGGCCCTATGGCCATCCGTTGAGTTTCCTTCTAGTAACACGCTGATACACATGCATTCCTAACTTGGGGAAAACTCATCCGACTCACTGAGTTGTTCATGCAACTCGTCGAGTTTACGACAATCTTCATCGGACTCGCCGAGTTGTTCATCCAACTCGTCGAGCCCACATCTATCTCCATATGACTCGCCGAGTCGCCCTTGCGACTTGCCGAGTTCCTTCAGTCCTTAAGCCATACAAACCCATTTTAAGCCATACAATGGCTCTAAATTACAGATCCAAGCTCCCAAGGCATGCCTTTCACGTAAAGTTGCAAACTTTATGTGCATGCATGGCTAAAAAGATTCTTAATGCCAAAACTAAGCTCTTAATGGGTTTCATGCACAAGGGGGGCCTCATTCACGACCAAGACAGGAACTTTATGAATCTAGAACTCGGGAAAGGTCCAGATCTAAAGTTCCAACTTCAGATCTAGCTCATGTCTTGCAATATCACCTTACTCAAGCGATAAAACCCTAGATTTCCACCATATGAGATCTAGAAAGAAAAGAGATAAAGATGTCGACTTCATACCTTCAATGGGTGCTAACTAAGGCAGATTTTGGATTTCCCACTCCTTCCTGCTCCTATCCCCTTGTTCTCTAAGTTCTTCCTCCCATAAGCCCTCCTTCCAAGCTTATAATGCACAAGAAAGACACAATACACGGTTAGGATTTTCTATGAACTCTTACTGACTGCAAGGAGGCCAAATGAGGCTTATGCCTCCTGAAATAGAGTGCAGAACCCCGAGAGTTAGGGTTTCATCTGCCAGCTCCTACTCGTCGAGTCCCTTTATGGACTCGGCGAGTAGGTCACTAAATGTGCGATCCCCCCTCGTTGCTACTCGACGAGTAGGGCACCCTTAACTCGTCGAGTAGGACTTAAAACCAAAGAGATGCTTACTTAAATCCA